GCTCAAGATGCATTTAGCCCTGGAAAAAAATACTTCTATAAACTGCTGTTCCTTAAAGATGTTTGGCCATCTGCCACCACTGGAGTGTGTTCCTTTGGCTGGTCAGATGTTACCCCGAGTGGGATGGAGGGATTTGGAGCTGGAGTGAACCACCCCAGCTCTTGTAAACCTCCTTGAAGCTCACACCACCAGATGATCTGGCCCACTCCAACCCAGAGCTTGGCTCCTTAAACTTGGCACGTGGATGCTGGAATTTTCCAGTTTGCCATTGCAAGCTTATTTCTTTATTTCTCTGTTATTGTCGAGGAGGGGCAAACAGGTCTGTGCAAGCTTTGAAATCACCTGGAAAGCAACTGGGAAGTCAGCAAAAGCTCCCTGGGCCAGGTTCACACTTGGCTGAGTTGCTTTGCATCTGATGTGGGTCCAGGTCTGGGCATTTTGGCTTGATTCTGGAGCTCAGAGCCCTTGGAAAATGGGTGGTGTGTGAGTGAACTGTTCTGAGCTGCTTTTATTTCCTTGTCTGCAAGTGCTTTTGGTGCTTTAGTTATCCCTCTCTCTATAGCTATTCTCCTTCCTGTGGCTGTATGACTCTGGAAGGGCAAGGAATGTCAACACTCTGAGTGTTCAGGTGTCAGTGGGATTTTCACTTGCTGCTGGAGAAGACAAAGTGGGGTCTCATTCCAAAACAATGGGCTGTTTGTATGGCCAGAAATGCCAGTCTGGGATGAGCAGGCCCAGGATCCTGGCATTTGTGTACTTGGGGCTGACAAGGTTCCCCACATCTGGCAGTGTCTCTCCAGGGTGATTAAACATTCAGAGAAACACTGTGGATCAAGTCATTCTTTTGGTATCATAATAAGAAGGGGTTACTGGGAATCATAAATTCATAAAATAACTTGGGTTGGAAAGAACCATAAAGATCATGTAGTTCTGACCCTGCTGCTGTGGGTAGGGATGAGGAGAAGGTATTTGCAACCCACAGGGTCTGCTGGTGCTTTTATCTGTCCCGGTTCCATGTCCATATGCCTGGGATACTTGATGGTCTGTACATGGAAGGGAGAGAAAGGATCTGTCATGGTGTGTTTGGGAGCTGAGGAACAGCTTCTCTGCTCCCCACCAGAGGCACTGGGGGCCTGTGGGAAGGACCAGCTGTGAGTAGAGGGATATCTTAATGCAGGAGGGAGGTGCAGTGGTGATGGGTGTTGTCACTGCTGGGCTGCACCCAGTGGGTGATCAGCAGAGGTGGTTGCAGGGGTGCACAGGTGTGGGACTGGCAGAGTTTGCCCCCAGGCTCCTCCTGGATATGGAACACCAGGTAATTTGTCTCACCAGCCTCCAGTCATCTGGTTACTCATGAAAGGCAAGACCTGGAAGGGGTTTTCATCTGAGGGATGTGCCCAGGAGTGCCACTGGCACCGTACCCAGGCTACACGTGGCTGCAGGCAGCACATGCTGTGTTCCTCCTCCCAGCTCGGGGGCTTGCAGCCAATCTGCCTTTCACCTCTGCCTGGTGAAAGGCTCTTTCAGCAGAGAATCTCTTCCTGTGTGTGGCTCATGCTCCAGCCTTTCCAGTTTCACAGGGAGGCTGGTAGGAGGGGACAGGTATCTCAGCATGTTCGGAGGTAGAGGGAGGGATTTCCTGCAGCTCTTCTTTCTTGAACCATTAGGAAACTTCATTACCAGGCTACAGGCTGAGAGGGCTGGGAGGACTCCTTTCCCTTGGCTTGATCTGGGGGGGTTTGGCCTCCTCTGCTTGTAGGTTTTGATCCATCCAAGTAACTCTCATTCCATCAGGCCAAAGGTTTATGCTGAAGCTCAACAAAAACCCCTGTGGTGCAGAGTTCTTCCACCAGACAGCCCAAATCGGGGACAGGATGAGTGATCCCTAACTCCTTATTGCCCTCCCTGTGTGCCACAGGATGCCTGGTGACTGCTCAGGCTCCTGCTGTGCTGAGTGACCAAACCCACAGACAGGGAAACTGGAGCCCAGGGTAGGCAGAGTTTGGGAATTCAAGCCATGACAACGTTTTTTTCCCCTGTGGATGATGAAGGCCTTAAGGATGATGCTGGGCAAGCAGTGGGGAGGGCTGAGGTGCTTTGGTGTGGCTCAGGGTGTGAACCTAGAGGTGAAATCACTGTTCCGTGAAAAATCAGTACAGCTCAAAAACCCAAGGAGCTGGGATTGCCACCTGGATTTGTGCCAGCAGTGATGGTCAGGACTTCAATGGCACTGACAAAGCAAGTGTTGATATCAGCAAGTGTCTTTCAAG